ATTTACCTGCAACCTCATCGCTTATATCTCGGCCCACGCGAGCTAACCTTATTTCTCTCGAGGGAGTGCCCAATGCATGAAGCATGTCGAGTGCGTAGCAATCCTCTGAAGATTACACGGTGTATGTAACGTATGATCGTGTAATAATCTTGTTAGCTTTGTATTAAGACCTGGGTTTGGACCTGATTATAGTCTCAAGTTAATTATTGTTACGTATTAATTTTGTGGAGATAACGATTATAATGAAGGTAATTGGATAGAGACTGGTTTGTTGGCCTTTGTTTTCTCTATCGCTATGGAAATCCTCATGGACTTCCCAAGTCGTAGGGACGACGGGGCTTGTACGACTCTTACCGGCTGAAATGACCGCAGTGTTTTTTCTATGCCTGTGATCGTGACCCGGGTTGCCCTTACGAAATCACCGCACCCGGCAGGCCTCGACCTATCGCTTGGTTTGTGGAAGGTCCTGCCACGTTAGTGGCCTTGAGAGGCTGCTTCCCTTCCTCGAGTGGAACGCGTCGAACACTACGGTAACACCTACTCCCGCTTATACAGCAGACGTCTGACACCCGTCAGTCGAATATAGGCCTGGCCAGGCAGGATCGCAGATGGGCTTGGTTTGTGAGCCTGAGAAAGAAGTACCTATTGGTTCAAAAATCTCCCAACTAGTTATAGCAGTTTTAAAATTGTGTCCAGGGTGTGATAATTATGATAAGTGAATTTTGTAATTTTTTTTGTATCTCAATAATAAAAAAAAAATTGGACTGGTTACTTTAAATTTAATTGGGTGTTGTATAGTATATTGTTTTGCATCTCGAGGAATTATAAATCCATTATGTAATTATTTATGATACATTATAAATAGGTAATGATGATGAAGAGAGGTCACAAAGGTATTCACTCTAATGAACATAACATTATTATTTCCACAAAGCTCAAAGCATAGAATAAACAGTACAAGTAACAGTACTCAGAAGTGCACATGAAACATTAATTGGACTCTAATAAATGGATATACACATAACTACTAGGTACTATGTTATAGTTAGCGTATCTTCGATTTCCTATTCCGTTAACCTACGACTGATATCACTTATGCATGGACTATACAAGTCAAACGCAATGTTGTCATTTTCAGAGACATCTACAAACAGACACTAGCTTTGCTTTCTATTATTACTATGCACATTGTGAAATCTAGACAGTGTGACGTCACACGTTTTATTTCTTGGAAGGGTAGGCAGATATCCACATTTTAATTTGAGAAAGTTAAATCCACTTTTCACTAGATGTTATGAGTTTCAGCCTTGGCCTTCCTTGAGAATCTTATTAATATTAATAAATGTGTAATAGTTCTTTGTCAGAAAAAAATATATACCTTTAGAGGATTTTTTTATCGAAGGATTAGCTGAACATGTGACACCGGTCTCCGTCAAACCACGTAAGATGAAGAAACAATTAGAATGTATATGGTATTCAGGTTAAGACAAAATGTTTAGTTTAGTAAAAAAGGCTTATTTTATTTATTAGTTCACCTCTAGAATCGAACCCGAGCCTTACAGCCATTTGACCAACGAACAGTCGATCCACGTATATGGTTATAATAGAAAAGAAAACTTTCAACCATTTCTTAGATTTCGTATTCAGGGTATATTTGAAAAATGTCTGAGCTAGCACCTAAAAAGGGTCTTCATAAATTTTAAGTAGGCTCTGCTGCTGAAAAAAGATTTCTATTCAAAGAAATTGAAAGGCTTGATTGTTTTTTCGAAAAGTTTTTTGTGTGGGAGAAGATCTTGAAAGGTTGTTCGTATTTGAATGTTTTTGGGTTCGTAATCATAGTGGTATACGTTTTTTGTTATGTTCAATAACATTGCTGTACGAATTTGTAGGACGACAAAAGTTTATTCTATAACATCATATAACACGTAAAATCGTATTACCATAAAACGTAAGTCTTATCATTCCATGATTCTGCCTACAACGACTAGGGAAAGTCACACCCACTTTTAACTATTTGCGAAAGTTATAACATGTAAAAGATGGCACGAATATTTTAAAATAAAATACGAGAATCCGATAAAGATAATTTAATCATGTTTTGGTGCTTCTAAAAGATGACCCACAACATCAAAAAAACCAGTCTATACTAGATTTCTCACACAAAATAGCACAACATTACACCTAACTATACATTTCCACGCAAGCACGCTAATGTTCTCAGAATCTACCTCAATTCCGTCGCATCAAACATGAATAAACACTTACAGGTGAATAACGTAAAAACGGGCTGTGGCGTAGTAAAATCCTTTAAACACTTAAAAATCCATTAGGGTTGAGGAAGGGTCTTGTACGGAACTCGACGCACGTGTGACCAAGCCTCCACCAACCACTAGCCGCTTCTTTTTATTTAATTTATAGATTCAGCAGATCTTATATTGTGTCAAAGTGTTGGTTAAATACACACATAGAATTATTCAGATCATGTTTCTGTTTTGTCTAGTTTTCGGGATAGGTAATTTATCTGCTTGATAATTATTGTTTTCTTGATAGGTATTCAAAATGATTATTTTTCTTGAGACATGTCGATATATTTTGTTATTTAATTAAAACATCTAAATCTGACGAGTTCAATTATTAAATAGTTGCTTGCTTCTTGCTCACACTATTAACTCTTCTCTGCATCACCCAAAGGTCAGACTGGGAGAAAATGCCTGGGGAATTAAGTCCACCTTATGTACATTTTGTGCACGAAGCTTTAAATAAATAAATTAATTAATTTTCCACCACAAATAACATTGTTAGCAAAACAAAAGACTACTGATCAAGACAATAGGTATTGCACAGTCCTGATCCCAGCGACCCGGGCGTCCTACTTCCAAATGTAGCCCCGTAATCAAATTTGCACAATCTGGCAACCCTACATGACACGTTCATTGTCCGGTGTCGCTGATGCGTACGCCGGATGCACGTTCCCGGATGTCACCCCCCCTGTATGGGGAGGCTGTATGCTCCATACGTCTTCGCAACTCTCAAGACATTTGCTACTATCTAACCTCAGTATATCGCAGTATCGCAACAAGTCGTGACATCACGGATGTTCACGTGTTTGCATGGAAATGACACTGTGAATCCATGAATATTAACAAACAAACAATTTTGAGTCTTACGTGAATTGCACACGGCTATATTTCACCCAGATTGCTGAAATACAAAGACCTAATTTGTTGTTCTGAAAAATAAACAACGTTGGCGAATTCGGAGTAATGACAGCAGTAATGTTTTCATTAGCAGACTCACCTGCGCTCTTGTTTTCGTAAAAGAACTCAAAGGAATTTGATTGGCACCATTTCGCATTTTCTTTTTCGTAAAAATATAGTCATTAATCAACTTGAAAAGTTTTAACGTTTCTATACTTAATTAAATTAGAAGACTGACATTATTATCTGCAAAATATTGTCAAAGTATTTCATCAAGAATAAAAATATAAATTATCGTAAAAACAACACTTACCTTGTCATTTTGATTTTTTGATTGTCAAAAAGAAATCTCGTAAAGCAAGAAGTTTGTTAAAGAATCCCTTATTCTTTAGTTGCTCGAACAAACAGCCCGAGACACGTTTGAGTCGTATGTTAATAACATTAGGGGGAGACGGGACGTTATTATGTACACACGCCTTTTATATTCCGAGGGAATTGAATTTCCACCTAAATCTACAAGGAATAAGGAAAACGAAAAGGTCTTGAGTTTAATAGGTAAACAACTAACAGCGTTGTCTCGTTGCAAACAATTCCGTTTAGCTGTTACCTTAGGGAACTATGAACGTAATTGACCTGGTGACAATGTGCACTAACTTCAAAGACTTTATTGTTTTCTTGGACATCTTTTTGTATCTTAAAACGTTTCTCTTTGTGTCGTTATTAAAGAGACAGCTAAAGTCCTCTTTTAGTTATTCCTTTTGTGTATATTTTAGTCTGTTTATTTATTCGGGGTTGGAAGATCAGGACCAGGTAGGATCCAGATTGCCTTTCATTTAGATTTTGGTATTACTTGTTTTTAAATTCGGTCCCGTTTCAACCCTCAATAAATTTCGCATCGTTTATCCTAAATCAGTGTCTTATTTGTGCTGAATCTTGTTTCAGTTCGTATTAATAATGTCTTTTTAAGTTTTCGATTAATGATAACAAACGGTAGAAACAGTAAATTATTAAGTACCACAATTATAAATACTGGTCTATAGTTATGCAAGTTATATTAGAATTTTCATTTGCAAGAAAAATGCAAGTTATTAATTTATTCATAAAAAAGTCCAGGTGGCTTTGCTCTACAATAGAACTCGATATGGAAAAGTTGACTCGATAACATTTATTTAATAAACGTTCACGTTATAAGTAATTAAAACTTTCATGTACGAGAAAAAAGTGAATATTTTCGGCCCCAATATATCATTCCGGACGGCCTATAAAAGTCACTTGAAGTAAATAATTTTTACAAAGAAGTTGGTGAAGAAAAAGTCTCGCTGTAAATCTGTCACCGAGTAAATTAACGTGCGCGGTAATCATTTAGATGGCCTTACCCATTACGGTGCTTAAGAGGTTTTGGAGTAGGTTTTATGTAAACAGTTTTTCCTCTTACGATAGGCACCTGTTGATATGGTTTTCTCGACTGAACATACAGAAGCAAATCCAAAGCTGAGAGTCATTAATTTTATCAAGAACGTAGGATTACTGTTGAAGGATGACAGATGGGAGTTACTCCGTGAAAAAAGACACTCTTGTTAGGATTCAGTGTTGATCGCATTTTAGTTGGCAGAAGGCCAGGTTCTGGAACGGTTTTCAAGACAAATTCTTCTGTCAGACTAACCTGATTACTTTCAAAGTTCGGCGAAGAATGTTTAATTTAATGTAATCTGAGCTGACACTGACAAGCCAAATTGTTTTCTACCTATATTAAAATTGGGTCACATTTTTGCTGATATTGAATATTATTATATTTTATACCAGGAAACGGTCAGGCGACGGACGTGGATGTCCGGTTGGTGGCTCCAGCGTGGGTGGCTAGGGGCGGTTCAGCCACATTACGGTGCCTGCATCAGGTCCCACCACAATTACTCTACAAAGTGGAGTTTTTGAGGACTGGGACGAAGCTTCTGCAGTATGTCAGGGAAAGGGTACCACCTTTCACCAGCTATACCTTTCCTGGCGGTAGAGTTAATGTAAGTATAAAAGTTAGATATTTAAGTGGGTCTAGTCTATGCCAAACGTACAGTGTTGTGAGATCATGAACTAATTTATCTGTCTAAATAAAGCTCCTACATTCAACGAATCCTTCATAAAGATCCATGTACACATACATAATAGAATGGGTATATATCTGCACTCAAGAAAAACATCCCATTTTGTAAGGCCCTGTTGATTATAGGGACGTAATTTCCATCACAATAGAGCTAGTTTGAACACAATAGGATTCGGAGATCCATTTTATCCGTTTGATTCGTATACTAGGACTGTTTGTCGTATTTTATGTCTTTTATGGCAGACAGAATTGTATATTATTCTAGATTTATGAGTTTTCTGAGAAGTAAGACAGGTAAATTATGGGCTGGGGAAGTTTTGTCTCTTTTGTTACGATTCGAGAACAGATGAGACGGTAAATTATGAATTCTGTTTTCTTTAGGCTGTCGATGGCATTTAAAATTGGCCAGTATTCTGTTAGATGATATAGTGACTTACTTTATGTAAATATGATAGTTTTGGTACTGAAATATAATACTTTTAAATATTTAACGTCTTCAAAATGGGAGAGTAATTTCTTGATCGTTAAAGTGCAGGAGTTTGACTGCGCTTTAATGAGGGAGACGTCAAAGTTTAAGTTCTTACGGTAAAGTTTGCTGTTATTAATTCCCGTTATAATATTTGCTAATAGTTTTTAGTTAATACTTTGACGTACTATAAGAACATTATTGGTATCTTACTAAACGTTTTTGTTTTAGATGACACTATCAACAGAAAACTCAATAACAATCGACAACTTGGATCCATCAGCATCAGGACTGTACTGGTGTGAAGTATCGTTAGAGACGCCCATCTTCACAGCTGCGTCGAATCCAAGGCAACTGACTGTCGTATGTAAGTAAGATTTAAAATATATTCTACTCAGATTTCGACATTACTTCTCTGCATTAGGATACAGGCTGATTAATGCTATTGTACGGTAAAACTGTAAAATCATTTTTTTAATAAGAAAAATTTTAGCTTTCGAACTTATTTCATATTCATATCATAATCAGATGACTAAATGAGGTCACAAGTCCGCACAGGCAGACTAAATGAAGATAATAATAATATTTCATTTATAAAATATCTAAACTACAACATCTTAAGGATAGTGGTATGATTACCAAGCTTTTAAACAGTATTCTGTAGTGTAAGATCCTTCTTGCACTATTGGTAAATACCAAAATCAGAACCTTTTAGATCAAAATTTCGCCGCTACTAATCGTACATACTCTGAATGCGGAATATGTGTATGTCCATACATTTTAATGAATAATTCTAGAGAAGATAGGACTCCTTTATGTTCGAGTGTTAGCTGAGACAGCCGCCGAACCCACTTGTTTTAGCTTTTCTAGCTGTGAGAATGAGTTAGGAAATAGATGCCGTTGAAAAATGAATTCAAAGTTACTCTTATTTTGGAACAAAAGAAGCAAAAGGTTTTAAATCTGTGTAATCCCTTAGCGTCCTAATTTACAAATCTTCTTTTTATTAATTCCAGAAGAAGAAAAAGGAACGAAGGTGATACATAAATGAATGTTGTAGAGACAAAATATTTGGCATGTATTATTATAATGATGGTACTCTATTCTAAAAATATCACCTGCCCTTATAAATATAACATCAGAAGTGTTGCGTACTTTGTAAACTATCAACCTCTTGACCCAACTCTTTAACGAGAGCTTCTTCAGAATAGATGTAGGTCAAGGCTTTTGGCTATAGGGCAGTTGTAAGATTAGCATAATCTGAGGGAGTCAGGCAAGAATTTCTAACCACAGCCATAACTAAGTTATTATATAAAGTTTATATACACCAGTCGATTCTTTTTCCTTCTGTTCTTATAAAATCGTCTGATGCATTTCTTTACGGGATCCAAAACAGTTATTGATTTCCCTGAAACGTGCTTGTATCTACTATTGATCCTGGCTAACAGGAGTTGCCGCAGTTTTGTCCCAAATAAGAGGCAGTTCGGTGGAAACGGTAAAGAAGAATTCATTTGTCAACATCTACTCTACTCACGAGTGTCTAAAAGACTACATGTTAACAGGGACCGGGCAACAACGTTCTATGATAAACCTTATCCTTTTAATCTGCAAAATCCAACCTAAGCGTGGTAGTTATAGCAAACTCCTCTTTTGTAAAGGAAGTCTCTCTATGGACTTTTACGGGTAATTGCTGATGAAGCTAATCAATAGATTTTGTCCGGTTTGCTTTTTATCCTTTAACAAATGATGTATGTACGAACGTAGTCAGTTCAGTGCAAATTTGAGGAGTGATTTCGTGAGCAAATTTACAAGAACTTCTTAGCTTGTTTTTTGGTGTTTCAATTCCTTGTCTTTCAAGTTTGTGCTCTTTAGGTAGATATAGTGACTGAAGAATTGTACTTTTTCTAATTTAAGAGTTCTTTTTCAAAATTGTTATAAGTTGATCTAAATTTTAATATAATGGTTAAGTGTCTTTTATCTTATGTGTTACCTTCATTAAAACGTGTCGAGGATTAAAAATGTTGTACTATAATTTGTGCATACAGTAAATATTTTGCTTATGTACAATTTTATAATTTTCACGCTTAATATAATATAGTACAATTATTTATTTGCCAGTAAGTTACAGCACAATTTTACCGAATAATTATGCAGTTAACGCCTGCCGAAATACTTATGGGAATTATTGTGTATTTTACGCTAAAATAACTTCACATTGTAATTGGACCTGTGTATAATTGTAAATTAATTGCGATGCATATTTACGTAAATAATTCTATATTAAGTTCATTTTGCGACAGACGTAATAATTAACTCTGTTTAAATAAATATTGTGTACCTACGTTTTAAAATATGCCCGTTATAGTTTAACTCATTAACCATTACATTCAATAGATACAAATCTGGATTCCTCTAATCTAAGTACCATTATGTAGCTCTTGCGTTTTCTATCTAGGTGTACGTACCATTATTTAGCTGATAAAACCAAAAGACCGCATTTCCTGAGCTACATAGAAATATCTTTAGCAGGACGGCTGAAAGAAACAGCCCAAATAATAATAAAAATCGAATAGCCAGCTTGGAGAGAACCATAGAGAGAATTGTCTTCATATAAACCATAATTCATGAAAATTACCACACAAGTCTACTAATCTTCACGGGATTGCATCCTCAACATTTTTACAACACAAATTGTAACAACCAATTACTCATAGCTGGATTATTTATAAAAACATCTTTTGATACAATTTTAAATCATCCTTCTCTACAATTATTATACCTGTAAGTCATAATTTATTTATTTATTTCATCCAATTACTTAATATATCCCCATGACATCACGCATAAGTACCTAAACAATATTACAGAACTGTGAACATTCCTTCACAAAAAAGTGAATGACAAAGCGAATTTCCATCAAACATCAGCCAACAAGAAACCCTAATAGCATGTAACACCCGACATCAGAGAATACAAATTGTTATTATTAATGACATTTTCTTATCTCCTGCTTATTTTCTCATCTTCTCATCATATCCTTCACTATTATTCGCTGTCACTTTGTCGACCACGAAAGTGTAGCCTCAGAGCTCCTTGCCAAATAACTATTATCATCCAAAGCGTTGAAGATTGAACAATTTATATTCATGACTAGCATCTACACGGGCGATTATCAAAATGGAAGCGATGTAGTTTTGCTATTCTAGATTAGATGTTTCATAATCATATTTTGTTGTTAATATTATAACAGAGTGTTACGTTTCAATTTTATATTAGAAATGCACAAATAGTAAAAAGTTATTTTTAATTAAAACATTATCGTGTGCAATTCATGCACCAGAAATTACATTTTTTACCTTCAAAACTAAGAAGATGGTTTTAGAAACAACTACTTGGATTTTCTAAATAAAAATGTCATCAGAAGGCAGGGATAGACAGCATAAAATGTAAAAAAACAGTAAAAAATGTTTAAGTACCTACTAAAATTAACGTTCGGTCCTACACAATGTGTTTAGCGTATGTCCAAAACAAACCAATACGTCTCGAAATAGCTGTTATTTTGCAGTCCATTGTCCGTGTTCACATTTACCCAACCATCCCCATTATAGGTAAAGGGCTTTGCTAAAATGTTAACTCTATTATCTGAATTGATGTTCACATAATGTCTGATGACGTCATTAGTCAGTAGACGGGTATTCTACTTGGATAGAAGCTCTCCAATTAATAGCAAATTACTTATGAGATATTGGATGCTTGATATGTTTGTTATTTCCGTGATGCCGGATATTAGTAGTGAGCGAGATGGCGTACAAATGGCTTGACCATTTGTGAAGATATTTTTTATTTAGTTGTATTTTGAAATTGTACTTATGTTTCATTTTTTATTTATAAATATTTCAGTTATTAAATTAATAGAATAGAAGTCCGGAATTACATTCTAATAATTGTCATTACAACTTCTTCAATATAATGTATTATTTGAAATTAAGTTTGGAGCCGAATGCGTCTAAATGCGCTGTAAAAAATGAAAATATGAAACAGATTCTATAACTACAAATATTTAGAATTATTAAAATGTTTGTCTTGTACACAGATTCCCAAAAACACCCACCAATCATAACGTTCGGTAAGCCGGACGTGGTGGTGGGAGGTTTACTGCGCGCCAACTGCACAAGCGCGCCCGCTGCGCCTGCACCGCGACTCACATGGTACATCGACAATGAAAAGGTAAGCGTTCGAAATATCTCGGAAATTCAAATTGTTAATCAGCTTTGCCTTTGGTCAAGATTTTTTTGTAATCCACATAATAATAAATATTGTACTAGTCATGAATCTATTACATGATGGTTTAGGTATGTCACGCTCGCTAAGTACTTAACTCTGTTATATTAATAACACTAATTTGTTTCTCTACCCAGGTTGATGAAGAATCAGTGAAATATTTCTCGTACCGAGTGTCAAGTTCTACTCGTACGAAGGGGGGAGGGGGATACCGTCACAGAAAGCATCAGCATCGACTGATAGCACCGGAATTTAATTACACAGCTAAATACTGGGCACTGGTCAGTGAGACCACAGTAGCTCCCACTGTGAATACTTCAAAACATCACAAGTGCACTTTGAAAGACCAACAGAGTGAAGAAATGGCTAAGGTATTACCTCTATATTATATTTCAATAATAATTAGAATTAAAATTCCATTTCCATAATGTGTTTTAAGTGTGGTGAATTGTATATTGAATCAAAGTCCACTATTAGGATAGACAACTAGCTGATTTACATCAAATTACGAGTGTAACTGTTTCACCGCTGGTCGTTCATATAATCCAATGCTAACAATAATTTAACAAGAATTCCATTGCTCCTGCATTAATTAACTGTCGAGTAACATGAAGGTTCATTAGCAAAGTGGTACATGCCGATTCTCTTGTATTTTTAATTAAAACGTAAATGATTAAACGAAGGACTGATGGCAACAATTAGATGATTGTTTAAAATAAAATGGATCAACATTTTGTTACGTATTTGTGGAACGAAAGTCTTTTAATCTTGGAAGTTGAAAAGGGCAAATTGAAAGATCACAATGAATGTACAAGATAAGGAACAAATCAAAGCGGGCGTCTTACAATAAATAACAAAAGACAATCTCAATCCGAAGTCGATTGGGCTCAAGTATCTACAGCTGATCTGTATCTCAATATTATTATTCTTTTTATATCCTTCCAGTTTAAATTGAAGACCAATTTCAATAGAATTGAGATTGGTTGGTTAGGTCGGTCAGTTTCCGAAATTAAATTCTTTAAAGTCGTATGTTCTTCTATTCGTGATTGTTGAATTTATATAACAGTCATAATTCATGTTCATTATGTTATTATGCATCAAATGAATTGATAATTAATATGTATTGTGTTTTACTTGTGATTGTGTAGAATTTCCGCTTCAATTAATTTTGTAAACTGGTTAAGATTTTTTCGTTTTTTCTATAAACCAATTATGCCAATGATATTTATGAAATAACATTATCTCTTTATCAATCGTTTATTGACAGCAAAGACCTTATAGTTAGCCTCACTGGCACAGTGAACTAACTCTAATTACTTATCCATTAAAATAAAATATATAGTACCTTCTCTCAAAACTTTCCCATTTCCTGTTATCGTAACTCAAATCCCAACTTTTTCATTAGTTCGAATAGATTTTTTTGCCGAGTCCATATATTTTACCAATTCCCTATTCTTTGACATCCGTGACGTTCTTGTAGGAACGGCAAAATTAGCCAAGTTTGGCAGCTGAGCTGGGATTACGTTAATAATTTCGCCCAAGTTAAGGCACTTGAGGAATATTTAATTGTTTTAGAACCTTCTTAAGAAATGTTTTCAAAGTTACATGCTTTACCTTAAGAGTTTGCTTAGAATACGATGGAATTCTCATGTTAATTTTATGGAATTCATTGAATATGATGTTATGCAAATTTTATTGTATTCCGTTGTTACCAATGTTTGGTTGAAGTTTAAGTGGTATGAAGTTACAATAACATTCTAACGTTTACTTATTTTGTGTAGCATAAATGTGGATCTTTACGTATCAAATTGTTTTTGACGTTCGTATTTTAGCCTACTTTAATTATCGGAGTATCCATGTTACTTGACAATATCATCACTAAGTTCTAATTGATAAAGCGCTATGGGAACTATCCTTTAAACCCTGAAGGCCACCTATTATTCAAACGAGAAAATGTAATCTTAAAGGACAGATCTGTAATGTGTTATCCACCAACCACCATCAATTTAATAATATTTATTTATGGAGATCGGCCGATAAACGAGCCGGCCGTTCACCTGATGATAAGCAAGCAGCGCCGCTCATGGACGTCTAAAACACCAGAGGCATTACAAGTGCGTTGCCGGCCTTTTGGTGGTCAGCAATTTGAGGATTGTTGGGGATTCGGGGAATATAACGCAAGCTTTGTTTCACGTCGATTTTCTGTGAGGCCGTGGTATCACTCTGGTCGAGTCGGCCCATTCGAGCCGAAGCATGGCCCTTCGTCAATAGACCATCTTCAACGTAACTAATAATAATATCATAACACTTTGTCTAGATTCAAGAAAGGCCACGAGTTCCGCCAGCAGTGCCCATATCTCTATGGGTATCTATAGCTGAGCTGAAAGCCCCAGCACACGGCAGACTACAACTCACTTGCACCGCTACCATTCCTGATGAAGTAGGTCCAGGGGAAAAATTTGCAGATATTAAGAAACAAACTGTTACAGGTAAGGTTTTATCAGTAAATTTAATAAAATTGTGCTCTATATGAAGGGAGTTTAACAACTCCCTTGATTCATTAACATAAAAAATGTTTTAAATGAATCCATTTCTACACTTTTAACTGTTGTTATCGTCAATGTGTAGTATTGACTATTATACTGTTGTATTGAAAATATATGTTTCATAATTTGTAGAGTAGGTACTACAAGAATACACACCGCTTTAGTCATTAGAGAGAAAACAATACTGTTTTTGTCTTCGAGGTAATAGTAACGAATCATAAAAAAAAATCTCTGCTACTACTAAACGTACAAAAAATTATAAGTCATTTCCCCAAGCATTTGTATTTACCAAAACGAAAATTAATTACAAAAAGTTTTTTACTTTCGAACGTTTTACTGGAAACTTTAAACGCTGTCTATTATATCGTTTAAAAGAAGCTGGTGGAAACTGAAAAACGAACTGTGGAACAAACTTTCATTTACATTAATGCGAATCCCGCAAGAAACTTCGAGTGAGTTAAGTTTCAGCTCAAAATAAGCAAAAGTCTGCTCCACAAGTTACTGCTAACGAACCGTAGGTAGGAAGTCGTGTCTATACCATTTATTTTTTACAAGTCTTCATTTGGACTAATGAGTTCTTATAGTACACGATACTTTAATATTTACTAACATTCTGTGTCTGATTTCATCTGTGTGTGAATTTTAATGGAACATCCATTATCAAGACATTTTTGGAGGACTAATCCAATCTTACTAATCCTAGAGTAAAATAATTCGGGATGTAAACTATGAATTATATTCAATTATATTTTTACAGTGGCAGTGAACGAACTAAGTTTGAAGAAGCCACATTCAGAGACAAGCCAAGCAAACGCCACCTCAAGTTGCCTACAAAGCTACCCATTATGGATTCTCGGCTGCGGTATTATATTCCGCGAATTTACACTCCAATTAAATTGAATGACGCTATGAATCTCGCCTATCCCTGATCAAATATTTTATCTGCGAAGCGGCTTTTAGACTGTAGTTTCAATATTTCTTAGATACCCTTTATTTATGTATACTATACAATTTTGTGTACCTTTAAGCTTCCTCGTCTCACTTTCAAGGAATAAGGTTGTCCTATATCATTTGTTTTGCTACATAAATATTTTACAAATTATACACCCTTATTATATTTATACATTTATTCTGATGTTAGACATTCTAAAGCATCTCGCATGAGATTGAATATTTTAAAATAAAAGAAATATAAATATAATTTTACTGTGTTCATATGTTAATGTTATAATGTAACTAGAGTTTATTGTTACAGTGTATAATTAATTTTAAGATGATGTTATTATTGCATATTTCAATCACTACATTCGGATGTGTCCTTTTTCTTCCTGAGCTTTTGTACGTCAATTATACCTATCTGATCTAGTTACTACAGGGTTCCACGGATTACCAAACTATCGCTATTTTTATTAACACATTTAAAGGCTATTTCTGTATATCTCTGCATTGGTAATATGTTAATGATAAATGGAAAACAATAACTAAAGTAAGCTAGAGTCATATTTCCCGTAATGTCCCATTTGATATGCACTATCAGAATAAATAACAATAACAATAGAATTAATGAACGTTCTGGAATAAAATCCTCTTTCGCTACTGCTTTGAATGTTGTCTTACCCCTAGATTAAAGGTTACAATAAAATATTCAGTACTAAGTTCCCCGGGGATTATTTATATACCTGTGTGCGTCTACATAGTACTCGTTACATTTCCTCACGATGATTTATATTCGTTAATCTTATATTTAGATTTAAGATTTTTTTAGTGTAATAGAAAAATAACGATTGTCGTTTTTGTTTATTATTCTCGTTCATAATATTCATGTTGGTAGGTGATTTTCAAAGTGAGAAAGTATTTTGAGAATTAAATTATTGTCTAATATATTTCAGCAGAATATTTTCGATATGATTAGTGTTACGCTGTAAAGCAGAGGTTATGGTATTTAATCGTAATTGCCACGAGGGAGATGGCTTGTTTTCGGAACTATTCGATTCGCTCTTTGGGAATAAAGTTCGGGTAAATAAAATTACACATTGGGGAGGAATTAAGGCGATATTATTGTTTGATTTCGTTAGTTCAGGGAAACCTGATCAGGGCAAATTGAATGGAGGTTTCCGTGACGAGGCTCCATCTCCCAAATTGGTGTTGAATGTCTTCCTGCAGCTCTTTACACTGACTATTGTAGAAAGTTTATTTGTTAGGCTAAAAGATGTGATAAGTTAAGAAAAATGTGTATATTGAAGCGAAATATATTTAAAAAATAGATTAATTATTTATGTGCTATTGTATAGATGAAAGTATATGAATAATAATTGTAAAATAGATACATATAGGCGTATTAGGTAACATTCAAAAAATGTATCTGGCAATCGCTTCGAGCCTTTCAAAATGTTGTTTATTGATATACCTTTTCAGGATAAATGTGTTCAATGTCTGCCCCTTTTATTTTTAGCACCACTTCAATAACAGTCCTTTGCGTGGAGTATACAATTGGCATGTTTATTTATATCTCGTGTTACGTTCTACTTTAGCAAATAGGTTTTATATAATGTATCTACTAATTACAGATTACTCTCTTCTACCAAATGAATTAATTATTTCGTCTATTCCGGATAAATAAATCTTGTGGTTAATTCTGTTATTTTATTTCGTGTTTAAAATTGCTATGCTAATTAACATTTCTCAGGATAAATATACATCTAATTATTTTTTTGTTAATTTTGAATGAAAATAAACTTGGACTGCATACGAATTTATTCAATAAACACAAAATGATGGAAACAAAACAATTTCAATTTCCAAACAGCTTCTAATAATTGTGCAGTCGGTTTGTTCACTCGGAATTGAATCGTAAACTTTGACGAGTATAGTTGTAAATGGTTTACACAAGTTTGTAAACATTTGTGGAACTTTATGATTAATCAAACTTAATGGTTAAATAAGTTTTTCTCTTTGCAAACAATAATGAACTAAAAGTTTATCGTTTATTGTTATTTAATTTAAAACAGCTCGTTTAATTATATTTAACAAATTAATTAATAAACCTAAAACGGATAATTTCATGTATATAACATCTGTCTTTTAAAAACTACCAATATTTTATTTATCTATATCTATACATATAATAAAATCGTAGAAAAGTGCTGTCTGTACATTGAAAATAAAAATAAAAAAATAGCAGGGGCTATTGTTATGTCGATTTCGAACCCAAAAATGTAACTAACTTTTTTTTTGTCTGTTTGTCTGTTTGTCTGTTCACGCTAATCTCAGAAATGGCTTATAAATATATATATATTTAACAGGGTGCGGAAAAGGTGATAGTGGTTTTATTCCTCAGATTCCTCTCATTCCAAAAAATTTTCCGTTTATTTTTAAACGAATTCAGTTTCCAGTGAGCCTATGTTTCGCCATGACAATTAATAAAGCTCAAGGTCAGACTCTAAAAGTTGTGGGTATAGATCTAAGTATCAGCTGTTTTTCGCACGGTCAATTGTATGTGGCTCTGTCCCGTGTTAGCAATCCCAGCAGCCTGTATGCTTTCACCCCCGATGGCCATACGTCTAATATTGTATATAGAGAAGCATTACAGTAAAGTAGAGAAGCATTACAGTAAAGTAGAGAAGCATTACAGTAAAATGACTGTGATTATGATCCAAATCTAAAATAAAAATAAGTAAATATTTAAAAAAAAAACGCTGCTCATAGTCACTATTCTACGCGAACAAAGTCGCGGGCACAGCTAGTATAATAATAAAGTTACCTATACGAAAATAAAATATTATCCCAATGAAATTTTAAATGTAAAATAAAAATTCCATTTCAGAAGCGATTGTCAGAATAAATAAATAAATAATTTTCTTTAGTCCTCTGGCCATTTTAAAAATTATAAAAAAAATATTTTATGTACCTACATGGTCGTACAATGTGAATGATTAATAAAAGCTTAATTTAAGCCTCTCTGGTATTTTATTTTATTTTTAATCTTTAAAATTTGTTTCTATTTTTTCAGATTTAACAGCATTTTTTCAGTGCACCTGACATATCACTATTTACCTAACATGTTAAGAAAAAAAAAACGGCAATATTTATAACGACTGATAAGAGTTTTTATTAGTTTGAGTAATATGAGTGAGGATAAAATGTCAATGCGTCTTATAGTTTTCCAAATATTATTATTCAGGCAGACTAAACTGACTTCAAGAGTCTTGTTACAAATGCATAAAAAAAACCAGCGACATAATTTTTACACGAAATTTTATTTTTCATCATTGGTGGCAAAATGTACAAGAAAAGATGACGAACTATGAAAGGAAATTGCAAAGAAATTCGATTTTCTCCTTCCAAGGACTATTGCCTTCCCCTATATCATAGTGTAGGTACTTATTATGTTTATTGACAGTCCAATATAGGAGCTACGCAAGTCATATTGTAATTTATTTACTTGTCGAAATGTGCCTATGAAGTTTTTACGATAGATGTTGTTGCTAAGCTGTTGTTCGCACAGGTCTCTCAAATATTACGTATTTTTAACATTTTTAACCGACGTCAAAAAAAAGGGTGTTCTCATTTTGACCTGTATGTATATATGTTTGTATGCTTTTATATAGCCATTGGTTGAATCGATTTTGATGTGGTTTTCAGAAAAATGTTTATTAGGTACACATACGAGAACATTTTACAATATTAATTAACTCACTTCAAAAGGAGAGAAAAGGAAAGAATTATCAACTTTAATCGGGTCTCGCTCGGAACGGGTAAAGTATTATTTAGTTGTCGCTTTTTGAAAATCATCAGTAGCACCATAAAAACGTCTAAAATGGTGTCTAGTGTATGGCAATCATGGAAAAATCAGAACTAGCCACATACAGGTGTTACATCAAAAAGGAATGCACATCTATTTTTCTAGGCAAGTATAATTGTATGTATCACTATATTTTTAAACAAATATTACACTTATACAAAGACCAACAGACCATTCCAACTATTAAAAGCTTGTGGTAATGTAATAAATCTGAAAGTTCTATAAAAGGAATCTAGATAAAAATCTACAAACATTAATTATACTGAACAACTGCATGAGACTTTTCTAGAACACAAAGGCGAGTTGACATTTTCTATAAATGTTATTATGCGCCAGTTCTTACTATTAAGATTGTGAGATCGAGGAGAAGACTTTGCTTATTTGAATGAAACTTTAATTATTACTTTTTTTCAAGTAAGTGTCTGTGTTTGTACAATTTAATTCTTCTTTTATGAATCAACTGTTGAGTGACTTTTGAAAAAGTTTTATATTTTCTTTTGATTTGGATCTGAAATCATTGCAGTTTACATTTATTTTTACGGAGTTACTGGGTTAAGTTAATGGGTTACCGGGGCTCGAAGTGCAGGAGTCGGTACGGGGTGGTTTTTAGTCAGTAAGAGTCTGACACTCCCTCTCGCCTCACCTGGGCGAGAGAAGACATTTGATGATTTTCCTGCCTCAAAAAAAGATCAAAATTTTACAAAATTTTTGAAGCATAAAAAGAAGTACGTACGTGATAACATGAATGTTGAAGTAACATGAAATAGTACACGTAATTTCGCTTACCTTGAAAATGTTAGAAAAACCATTGCATAAAATATTACATCACCTTTATTTTCGAAACCATATTATCCTACCGTATGTTTGGATCTTTAAATTTTAATGTCAGAAACAATTAGTGTTATGAAATTGTAATTAAGTTGTCGGAAATTGACTGGAAATTAAATTGCACGCATCACAAATGTTTAACCACATTTTGCATCAATAATAACGGCTACATTTTATACTGATGCAAGCCTTCTGCCCGAAGGTTCACCACGAAAGGAAAATGTAGCTATTATTACTCTTTCCTATTATCACTACATAGTATAAAACAAAGTCGCTTTCTCTGTCCCTATTTTGTATGCTTAAATCTTTGAAACTACGCCACGGATTTTTATGCGGTTTTTTTTAAAAGATAGAGTGATTCTTAAGAAAGGTTTATATGTATAATACATGCATAATATAGTAGAGAAACACTGATAAATACAGAGGTTTCTAATGTGATGTCGTAAA